CAGAATACATGAACCGAATCGAGGTATCACTGTGATGCTATGAATGATTGAAATAGGCTGAATTCGTGTTCGTAGTGAAACTCGCCATATCCGGATGAGGGAAGAATACGGACTGAACTGCGAATGCCTCCCTAGTTCGTGAAAGGCTGAACATTGGGCGAATACATGTTGAATGTCCGTAATAGCCTAGCCCATTGTGGTCTGAACAAACTTAGTTTTAATGTAAACAATGAGGAAACAGGAAAAGCCATGGCTGGGCTGGACGCAGTGTTGCCCCATGAGCTTCGAAGGAGGCGGCTCTTTTTACTAGAGTGAGGTAAAATTAATAATTGCATGGGCCGCACTAGGCCAAGACCAACTTGTTTGGCGTTTATGCAGGTGGTGTTGATGGCCTTTGAACCGTAAGTAGATGGTTCTGTACTAACCCAGACCATCTGGGTCCAGAGGAAGGGGTGGCCTGTGTATTTATATGCTTGGTAACTCCTCCCACAACTACAGGCTCTGACTTCCTATTTATCACATAACATTTTATATTGCTGGTTCTACCCCCGGTGTCTAGCCTTCATCAAAGGAAGACACTACCTTGAAAATCCCAGATGTCTCTGAAATGGAAACTGTTCTTTAAATGCCGGGTTGCTGCCCCATTCAGACTCCAGGACCAAATTGATTCCACTCCTTTACATACATCGGGGGTTGGTTCTGGTCCGTCTCTGGGTCTGTCGGGTTTAGCTGGCTACCACAATACAGCTCATGCCTCTAATGGGTTGCTGGGTTGATGTGTCTTGGACTCGTGCCTGGATTATCCAGTTTTTGATATTATGCTCCAACGTGGAGTGCTACCTCTACCTTTATTGCAGAATGATTTTTCAGCTCTGAAGTATGTTCCTTGTTCTGGTCTTATAATTTCCACATAATTTGCCGTTGGTTAAGCTTGAATATATACTTTACTTAAATTCATAAAGTGAGCTACTGTATCCTGCTTCTTGTCTAGGTCACTTTTACCATAACTCTAATTTGTCTTGCTTTACTGATCCTAGTATATGTTCACTCACCTCATAAACAAGAAAACAGGCTAGAGACAGTGGATTTCTTTTCCCCAGAGGGGATATGATAGCACTGTCTAAAAAAATACAAGATCCGTACAAACCAAACAATAAAATAGAATATAGTGAAGTATTTATGTTGCTGGTGATTCTGAACAAGATAAAGGAAATGCACTTACAATGCCCTCCAGATATCTGCACTTTGACTGTACAATCCTAGTCCCGATCCTGTCGGTAGCGTGTACTGGTCAGCTTTGATAGAATATGTGAGAGCAGTGTAAAGTTCCTCTCAATCCTACACAGCCAAGTATAAATTCTACAGGTAAAAACAGGAAGGTCCCAATTCAATAATCTAATTTTATTTGAAAACAAAATAATAAATCCAATAGTACAAAATGAAACACTAACGTGTTGCGCCCACAATAAGGCGCTTTTTTTTTTTAAGGATTTGGTTATTTACTCACCTGATTCCAGCGCAAATGTCCCTCGGCGCTGGGTCGTACTCCCCCTCTTCTGACCTCATCCCACAGGGGGACCTGATATGCATGCGCAGTGTGGTCAATGCTTTCCTATGGGGATCTCACTGACACTGGATGTCCTCATGCAGAGCGTGACAACGTCCAGCGTCATTTAATGGAGTCAAACTCCGTTAGAATCCAGGAAGTGCCTCTAGTGTCTGTCCTGCAATGTCTTACTGCACTGCACCCAGATCACTTCATTGAGCTGACATGCTCTGGGGTGCCTATTGTGTCCCTTTAACTTTGGTTCTACTCTGCAATTGTGTTAATTTCATAGCCCTACATGAACTCTTTAATATGTATAGGGACAGCTCGGTGATCCAAGAGAAATCTGATTTGCTATTATGGAGTCTAGAAGGATTTTTGTTCTCTTTTTGTAGTATAATCGGTTTCAGGTTGTTTTATAGGTTTTTTTTTTTGCATTAACTGTATAAAAGATGTGCTTAGACGTAGATTACCATGTAGCTATATGTTCTCAGGCTGTGTACGCCGTGCTTGACCTCCATGGAAGTGTCACCGCAGTCTCTACCGTCAGCTCCTCTGTACTAGAAGAATGTGACGTCACCAAACCACCCTCTGTGACATCGGAAAGCGAGGAAGAGGAGGAAGCAGAGCAAGCTGTAAGTTGGACTGAGATTTATCTCAGATGGTTCCCCTGCAAGGCAGACCGAGGGTGCTGAGTCTGTCTCTCCCCCCGCAGGGTGACACAGTGACACAGACAGGGGGCGCGGAGTCTGTCTCTCCCCCCGCAGGGTGACACAGTGACACAGACAGGGGACGCTATGGATCTGTCCCTCCACCTACAGGGTGACACAGTGACACAGACAGGGGGCACTATGAGTCTGTCCCTCCCCCCGCAGGGTGACACAGACAGGGGGCTATGAGTCTGTCCCTCCTCCTGCAGGGTGACACAGTGACACAGACAAGGGGTGCTATGTCTGTCCCTCCCCCTGCATGGTGACACAGTGACAGGGGTGCTATGTCTGTCCCTCCCCCTGCAGGGTGACACAGACTGGATGCTAGGGATCTGTCCCTCCACCTACAGGGTGACACAGACAGGGGTCGCTATGTGTCTGTCCCTCCACCTGCAGGGTGACACAGTAACAGACAGGGGGCGCTGTGAGATTGTCCCTCCCCCCGTAGGGTGACACAGTGACACAGACAAGGGGTGCTATGTCTGTCCCTCCCTCTGCAGGGTGACACAGTGACACAGACAGGGGGCGCTGAGTCTATCTCTCCTCCCCCCCCGCAGGGTGACACATACAAGGGGTGCTATGTCTGTCCCTCCCCCCACAGGGTGACACAATGACAAACAGGGGCCGCTGTGTGTCTGTCGCAATGACTGAATCTGATTTTATTTTTCCCCCAGGTTGACCTTCAGCCTCATTTCCAGCCTCAGACTTTGCACTTTATGGATAACCACGGGAAGAACATTCTCCTTTTACACGGAAATCGCACAGCTACACGGGTTTCCAGCTACAACCAAGGAATTGTGGTTCTGGCTCAGCCACTGCCTCGCCTTTTCCTTTTCCAGGTACATTTAATGTTGTAAAATTAACATCAGGATAGAGCTGGGTTTTAGTGATGTCACATAGCATCTCCCTCTCAGGATCAGGATAGAGCTGGGTTTTAGTGATGTCACATAGCATCTCCCTCTCAGGATCAGGATAGAGCTGGGTTTTAGTGATGTCACATAGCTTCTCCCTCTTGGTATCAGGATAGAGCTGGGTTTTGGTGATGCCACATCACATCTCCCTCTCGGGATCAGGATAGAGCTGGGTTTTAGTGATGTCACATAGCATCTCCCTCTCGGGATCAGGATAGAGCTGGGTTTTAGTGATGTCACATAGCATCTCCCTCTCAGGATCAGGATAGAGCTGGGTTTTAGTGATGTCACATAGCTTCTCCCTCTTGGTATCAGGATAGAGCTGGGTTTTGGTGATGCCACATCACATCTCCCTCTCGGGATCAGGATAGAGCTGGGTTTTAGTGATGTCACATAGCATCTCCCTCTCGGGATCAGGATAGAGCTGGGTTTTAGTGATGATGTCACATAGCGTCTCCCTCTTGGTATCAGGATAGAGCTGGGTTTTAGTGATGTCACATAGCATCTCCCTCTCGGCATCAGGATAGAGCTGGGTTTTTAGTGATGTCACATAGCGTCTCCCTCTCGGGATTAGGATGGAACTGGGTTTTAGTGATGATGTCACATAGCATCTCCCTCTCGGGATCAGGATAGAGCTGGGTTTTAGTGATGTCACATAGCATCTCCCTCTCAGGATCAGGATAGAGCTGGGTCTTAGTGATGTCACGTAGCGTCTCCCTCTCGGGATCAGGATAGAGCTGGGTCTTAGTGATGTCACATAGCGTCTCCCTCTCGGGATCAGGATAGAGCTGGGTTTTTAGTGATGTCACATAGCGTCTCCCTCTCGGCATCAGGATAGAGCTGGGTTTTTAGTGATGTCACATAGCGTCTCCCTCTCGGGATCAGGGTAGAGCTGGGTTTTTAGTGATGTCACATAGCGTCTCCCTCTCGGGATCAGGGTAGAGCTGGGTTTTTAGTGATGTCACATAGCGTCTCCCTCTCGGGATTAGGATGGAACTGGGTTTTAGTGATGATGTCACATAGCGTCTCCCTCTGGGAATTAGGGTAGAGCTGAGTTTAAGTGATGTCACATTGCGTTTGCTTCTCAGGTTCAGGATAAAGCCGGATTTTAGTGATGATGTGATAACTGTAAGACATCCTATTTTGAAGGAAACTTATAACTATACCCCAGATTTCCCCACAAATCATTCTATTGTCTAAACAGCTTTATTTAATTTTTATTTTATTTTATTTTTTAATCCTAATACAGAAATAATTTTTTATTCAAAATAAAACTCACTGCCTTTCTTAGTGTTTGGTTGTAAGTGAATACAGCAATACCACGTAGAATGAAATCTGATATAGCATTTAGTGAATAGACTCCGTCTCTCTCCTCAGGTCAGGATAGATCAGCTCTCACCCCGCTGGACATCGTCCCTCTCACTTGGAGTAATCGGCGTTTCACCGGAGAGGCTGAACTTCCCAGCCACGGCTGCTGCAATAAAGAGGAGTTCCTGGATCTTTCAGCGGAGTGCAGTGCTATGTAATGGGGCAAAGGTAATTTCTCTACGTTCTTCGTAAAGTCCGCGTACACAGCAACGTGTGGAAATAGTCATCTGTACAACTCTAGAAGTATCAATCAAAACTACTTAAAATGACCAATGAAAAAAGAATAAATACAG